AATGGGAACTATTCATCAGTAAGCAGTTAGTAGCACTTGTTCGGTTAGACTTTCAGTTAAAGTTACAATGGTCAGCAATAAATCCTGATGAAGAAAGTGTACTTGCACCATTTCGAACCCCATTTTGGATTGAAAATCGACACTGGTACGTGGTCTACGATCGTCATACTTCAACGATCTATTCACATGGAGACGTGCTACTACAGCTTCAAACAACGACTTTACCGCTCGCAGCGCACGCAAAATTTTATGATCATATTACTGAAGTCAAGCTGAATCATTTTCAAACTTCGTTGCATCAATATACAAACATTCAAAAGTTGTCACTCTAGACTCTAGACCTTGACAAGCAGCTGCTTGATCTGACACTAAGGTCGAGTTTCTGAATATAGAAACCATGGCATGGTCGTTGAACATACTCTTGTTGAGCTTATTCATCAATCGATGCATCGAGTTACTCATCTCAATGTTACCGCAACTGAATCATGGGCAAATTCTTTTCCTATCAATGCTGATCCTATCGTCAATATTTGTACATTGCAAATATCGTACTAGTACAACCCACCACATGATGAAAAACTCCATTGGATTCAACTTTTCCCGTGCGTCAAACGTCTCATCATACAGGTCAATACTCGTCGCCAAATGGCGATTTTAATTGATCTTCTTATCAAGTGACTCATTCTTCGTTGTTAGTTGCTAGATCAGTACAGTAGAAAAGAAACATGAACCTCGAGTGACACGACAATGGTTTGTTGAGAACACATGTCGCTTGTCGATCAATAATAATTTCACCTGTCGAGTGGAATATGAATACCTCTCATAGATTCATTTATGGATCGGTCATAATGACCAACAATCGTCGAAGAATAAAAAAAACTAGTTGGCGGCATAGATTTATACCGTTCAGTCTTGTTGTCATCGTGGGTGTGAGTATGGATGTGACTGTAGACATGAATTTGAGATTTAATTCAAGTTAATAACATGCACAAACGACAACTAACACCCACACCTTACACCCAACTCATTGCTACATCTTGATATGCACCTGCTTATTCATTCATCATTCCTAACGTTTCTAATGTTCGTGTTAAACATTATAATCATTTATATAAAAGAAGCTACTTCAACTGAAGAAATATTCAAACAAACCTTATTAGTATTCAATACTTTTTACATAATTCAAGCGCTTCATTAAATTTTGATATTTGAATATAGGTCATAGCAAGTATTAACTAACATTGTTCAAGTTGATTAGCATTATCCATATTTCAAGCTATTTTAGTTGTTCGCCTTCCCAAATTGTCAAGCTTTTTGAATATTTATTAATTAACATAAAGCATTCACTTAGAGCACATAATGCAACTAATATTATCTTTCTAAATAAATTAATTTTAATAAAATAATCAAAACCAATAATTTACATGATCTGAAATGTTTTTGAGTTAGAATTTTCATATTCAGAAGTTTTTATATGAAACCTAGGAGAGATGTTTGCGAGTATCAATCGATAAAAGTGGTCTACTATAAAAAGTCTGGTACGAAAACTTTCAAACGCTAAAAATTGAACACATAGTAGGATTAAGTTTTTTTGGATAAGAGAACCTTGTCAAGTGATAAATTGTTTTTGAGATAAGTTTTAATTCATTTGGTAAGCCCTAATGAGACTAGAGAGAGAGAGAGTTCAGAAGAACTCATTCTCATGATTCTTTCTTCTTGAATTATGCGTATTCTAATGAGTTTTTTCGACGAAATGTCCTACTCTACTCTCAAATCAAATTCAAAATTAACTTTTGAATTCAAATTTTGCACAAGTTCTCAGTGGAATTCATTTATTTTGAAAATGTTAGACTCTCTAACATTTCAAATCCTTAGGTACCAATATTGAAATTTATTATAGTTACTATTTATTGATCATAGAATATAACATGCAATATTTTGTACACTCTATGATTTGATTTATTCTCCATTGAATAAAGAGTTTTTGAATGAAGAAAAACTAGTCGTCACTGTCATTCATTTGAAACCTAATTGACTTCATAAAGAAAAAAAAAATATAGTTTTTTCATCGAAAACAAATAATAGAAGTACTTCTTTTTGATTTCGAATGCTACCTAATGCTATATGCAGTTATTTGTTGTAGGAAGTATTTCATTTATTAGATTAAATTTACAGAAAAATTCTATCAATTTTTGTATTTTATAAAAAAACAAAAGATGCAAATCACGAGTAGAGTTCTAGTTCGAATCAACATCTACAGGTATTACTTTATAGATATATGCTACAAATAGTTCTTTTATAGTTAAAATTAAAACATTATCTCATAGCAATAATTATTGACAACAAATGTTTTTAGTCAATACTTCGAGAACGGCAACCTTTTCGTTTGTGTTATATTTGAATTTTTGGAACATATGCCTAAAAATTATTTTGCATTAACTTTTGACATTACAAAAAACAAAAAAAAAAGAATTATCCATCAACACAAAAGATATATTTGTAGATTATTCATTTGAATTGAATTTTTCTGATTAATTTTACAATGAAAGTTTGGAAAAAAATCTACAAGATCATCTATTGATTTATCAGATGATTCGATAATTTGAATGAATTCAATTTTTGAACAATTATCTCTGACTTGTTGTCGATGTTAAGTGATTATCATTAATAAAAGTTCATAGTGAATGACCACCAGTTCAACTAGACATGAAAGATGAGTTCGGCAGAGACAGTGACATGCTTAGAGGGGGATTGGAGGTCGATCTTCCCTGGAGAGGAGTACGGTCGAATTATTTTCGCGTATCTAAAACTAGTTTCTCTCCACAGTGGTCTCCCCTCCTAGGAACGATCGATTCCCCCTCCCCCCGGAAAAAATTCCTCGACACTTCACTGGGCAGAGACGTTATTCAGCATAGTTTACGTATATATCATGTAATATAAGTGCAAGTAAATTCGATTAAATTGGTTATTATTTCTGTTTTCTCTTCTTGTTTAAGTCGATTGAATACTTCAAAATGATTTGAGATAAACTAGAGCTCGAGAAACAAGTTTTTGAAAAAGTATTTTAAAAAGGTTTGACATCATCAAAGAGTGGAAATCAATTTGAAATGAAATCAAAACGACTACCGATAAATTGATGCAAAAAATATTTGACATTAATCATACTGATTATTGAAATAATCGACTACACAATCAACAGGATGTTGCTTTTGTTTAACGAGTTGTATTAATATTTATATCAGAAGCATGTCGTAATATTGAACGAATATGAATATTAAATTGACGTAAGTGAAGCATATATGAAATAATATCTCTCTTTGTAAGTCAAATCCATCAATAAAATGATTCGATCCAGATCAATCAACATCAGTAGCCAATAGTGATGTCAAATATTCGAGATTTGATAAATGTTATAAAAGAGGAACAACACATGGTTCATATGAAGGAATATTACGATAGTTTGTTTTTTTTTATTGTCAAGTCTTTCAAATTAGGACAACATATCTAAAAGAAATCAATTCATTAAAATATCATATTGAATAAAAATACTGCCCAATATCATCCATGATATTTTTTAAATTTTCACGAAGACAAACAAATACAAAACTCACAGTGAACGAACACAATTGTGAGTCTAAAGGATTGAGTAAACGAATACGATCACCGAAAAAAACGTAATGTTACACGCATGTGAGTAAGATAAGGTGATTGAGAAAAGAACAATTCATCAGAACTAACTAATTTTGGTAGAATATAGTCATCATCAAGTGTCCAACGACATAGTAGAACGCATAAATCGTGAACACTAAAGAGTAGATATTCTTCCACAAACATTAGTATCCTCATAGTCAAAAAGTTGAGGTAATATTGAAAAGAGAGATTGACGGCACATGCGGCTAACAATATCATTACCTGAAAGTACATATTGATGCCAGTTTTTATGAAAAAAAAATTTTTTTTTATTTAATCTTTCTTGCATTTTCAGATAACGATCAAATTAAAATCAGGTATAAAGTAATAATAATTTATCAGGAAGAGATGAGACCTTTAACATAACGAAAAGATCTAAGAGGTTTGATGATGAAACACAATTTTTTTATTATCTAACACATTACTTAATTTAATATGAATCAAATAGAATACTCAAGTATGCAAATATAATCAATGTTCTGCTGAAAGTTGTCTTATTCTGTTGTAAGACAATGATCAAAGAGTCGATTGAAGTAACTTTCGCGTTACCTTGGTTGAATTTGTCATCAATTCTTTAGTCTTCAAGGATAGTTGTATGTTTATCAGAATGTTTTATGGAAATAGTGTGCTTGTAAAATTGCATCGGTACAAGTTGATATCAAATCTGTGATCAAGTCAAGGCTATATATGATCTTCGCTATCAAAAATTTCTCACGAAACAATTTTTTGCTATTGTAAATTCATTATTGATCCAAAACGAATCCCAAGGGAAGGGTAGAATAGATCAGTGTAGTACTCTTTTTTCACCTATACTGCTGCCGTTCTTCTAATAACCGATACAGAAGAAATGTGTGTAGAATAAATAATAAAAAAAAATTGCCGCAATACCGAGGATGACATCATCATAAGTGTCCATATTGTTTTTCTTTCCTTCTTTGTGATAGAGATGATAACATAATTTGATATAGACTCAGTCTTCTTTGCTTGTTTCTCTTCCGTCATGCTGAATTCTTTCATCCTTCAATCATGATTCATATGTCAAAATTAGTATCGACATTTCAACAAATGAATATTTAAACTTGTCGACTTCTGTTTATTTATCTTAAAAATTATTTTTCTTGATATCATCGTTTATATTCTTTTATTATCTTGACATGACGAACAGTTTAGATCATGTTGAAAACAAACACATCATAGTAGATAAGAAGCGACAAAACTCGTTTTCTTTTTCGACTATATCTTTTCGTGACGAAGCAGAATTGACAACGCATCAAGCGAATAGAACATCAGAGCACGATTATAACAACGCAATGTCTTCTATTGTTGCGATTAGAGTAGATCAAAAGACGACAGAAGTTTGGTCTGATGATGAAGCGATGCAAGAAACAGAGAAAATTTTAACACGAAAACTCGATTTTCACTTACTACCACTTCTTTCGTATGTAATTCTCAGATAATATCAAAGAAAATGATTTTATATTTTTATCGTTAGAATCACCTATTTACTTTCGTATCTCGATCGATAGAATATTGCCAATGCTAAATTGGGTGGTCTTGCAGAAGATACTTATTTGAGTTCCGAACAATATCAATGGTAATATTTTCGAATATTCATATTGACTAGAATGTAGATTTTGTGTTTATAATTTAGGTCATTATCGATATTTTTCTTTGGCTATGTTCTATTCGAAGTTCCATCGAATATAATTCTTCGTCGTTGGCGTCCATCAAGATGGATTGGTCTAATAATGTTAGCATGGGGTAAATAAATAATTATATCATAGTTCTTAATCAATATTTGCATGAATCGATTATTTTTAAGGTGTAGTGGCTGTGAGTCTGACAGCTGTAAAAAATTTTGCTGGCCTTCTCGTATGCCGATTTCTACTTGGTACATTCGAAGCTGGTCTTTTTCCAGGTCTAATCTATTTTATGTCATTGTGGTATCCGAGAAAAGAACAAGCTATTCGACTTGGTTTTTTCTGGTCTTTTTCGGCACTTGCCGGTGCTTTTGGTGGTCTTTTAGCTTTTGGTATCGGTCAAATTAAATCATCGACATTGTCACCATGGCAACTAATATTTCTCGTAAGTTGATCGTCGTATTCAAACGAAATAATATCATAATTTTCGTGTATCTCTTGTGATAATAGATCGAAGGTATTCCGACAATTATTGTAGCTATATGCTGTTTTCTTTTCTTACCTGATTCACCTGAACATGCACGATTTTTGAGTAATGAAGAACGTGAAATTGAGATTCGTCGTATGAATAATGATGCAGGTGCTTCTATTAATCATTCATTTTCTTGGTCACAAGTTTGGTCTGTATTTACCGATTGGAAAACCTATATTTACTCAATCATTTATATCACAGGAACAATTCCATTGCAAGCAGTGACTCTTTTTTTACCGTCTATTATCAATGGCATGAGTAAATGGACAACTGTTCAAACACAATTAATGACTATTCCACCATATATTGCTGCTTTTATTGCAATTATTATTGTTTCGCGTAGTTCTGATTAGTAAGTTTCTCCATGATTGTCTGTTATTTGTATTGAAAAACAAAAAATATTGATTTGTCTAGTTTTGTCGAACGATCTTGTCATTTGGTTTTGATAAATCTTTTTTCAATGTGTGGTCTTCTCCTTTTGATGTTTATCGAACAACAACGTGTAAATATTCTCTATATGAGTATTATTTTTCTTACAGCAGGTACCTATGCAAATGTCAGTGTCAAAATTGCATGGTTCAATAATAATTTGTGAGTCAATTATGAAACATAATATTCATAACACAATTGTTATTCACTTCTTTTTTTCTTTTTGCTGTCTATCGATGATAATCTAGTGCTTCATTAACTCGTCGTGCTGTTGCATCGGCACTTATTGTCTCAATTGGTACGACTGGTGGAGCAATCTCCGGTCAAATATATCAAGACAAACAGAAACCAAGATATTTTCTAGGCAATACAATTGCTTTTGGTTGTGTTGCTTTACAGACAATACTCATTATTATTCTTCGTTTTATATTTATTTATATTAATCGTCGACGACAAATACTCAATGATGAACAAAAACAACAACAAATTGAAACATATGGTGGAATTGAATTAATCGGTGATCGACATCCAGAGTTTCGATATACTCTATAATAATAAAAACGCTACTTTCTATTTTATGAATATTATTTGTTATTATAGAAGAGAATTTAATGAAGATTATTGTCGCAGTGAAATAATCAACATTTTAAATAAATGATTGCTCTTTGAATTCCATATTGTTCATCTTTTTTTTCGTTAAACTATCTCGGACCTTCAATTCTACTTTTTCACAATCTATCGTTGTTTTCATATGAATTCATTTTCTATACGTTGTGCTTTCGAACCCTGCTCTCTTTTCAAAGTTGACATATGACTCTTTTACATTGTTCAAAGTATAATAAAAGAAGCGAAGCAATTCTACATCAAAATCGAATGATAGATATTCCATTTTGCCCAAGGGATAAGTTATGACATACTAAAACAAGAGGTTTTTAGCTTGAGAGAGAGAGAGAAATGAGCATTGATGATAGACACTGAAATGTCTTACCATAGGATTAAAATCAAATATCAATCGAAGGAATGATGACTACTGAACATGATTAAAGCATATTGATTCAATAGAAGGAAGATCGAATATTACGAAGATGATAGAAGCAAACCTTGTCAGTTTATCAAACTGGACTAGTTTACGTTTCAAAACTTCAAATATTCATCAATTGAAAATAGACCAAATATGAAGAGTCATTGAAAAAGAATCGGCATATCTTCTGCCATGTTTTCATATAGCATAGGATATTTCAGTAATTTATAACAGAAATCTCACGAGTCATTGGTGGAAAATTTAGTGGAGATTCCTTTAAAGATGAACTGATTATGTATGACTGACTGAAATAAGACAATGAGAAGAAAACAGACAGCAATGCATCATAATCAATGTTATGAATTCAATGGATTATTATCATCATATTCTCCGCCAATTATTATGTCTAGTTGAACAGAAAATATCGCAGCTCCAAATTATCCAGTTAATTAGCAGATGGTCTATATAAGTCATGTAACTATATCTCTTGTCTTAGCATTTTCATTCATCATGTCGTACTTGCTTGAAAAAGAAAACATTCGAAAGGTCTTACGTAAGAAATCACACAGATAAGTAATGCATTATTCTTTATTTTTCTTGTCTTTTCCTGCTTTGGTTTCTTCTTCGTCTTATTGGTGTTGTTGTGTTCTCTGTGTCTTTCTTTACTGTTCGTGATCAATAAAAGAATAATAAAAATAACTAAAGAAATGTGAAAAAACAATTAATAGTTTATCTATTCTACATTTCTCAATATCTTCATTCATTCATTCCGATAGCGTCGACTTCGTATGGACTTGAATAATTTTCATAAAATCGAGACGTTGTGCGTAAAGCTAAGCAAGGTATTTCTTGTGAAAAAGGTGAGAACGTGTTGTGCAATGCTTGGCGGTTGATCGGAACCAAAAGTTCTGTTGAAAAAGTAAGTTATCTTATCAATACGAACTGGATCAAATAGAGATCAGCAAGATCCTATGTCAAAAAGATATGCTAGTTCATTAGAACGAAAGAAATGGAAGAAGTAAATGAGCCGTTTCATCTTTCTGTTAATCGTACGAGACCATGCATCATTCATATCTGAAATGAAAAAGGCGACCCGCATTGTTCAAGCATTTGCCATACACTTAAAGTCTTTTCTTCACGAAATCGGTACTCTTTTTCTTCTTATTGACCTATGAAAAATGTCACAAGACACTATTGTCGATCACATTCTTTGAATAAGATGTCTCAATGCCTGTTCATCTATTTGTCGGTTACGTCAGTTAAAATGAGGTCATCAAGTGAGCTAGTGTCTGACGATTCAACATCAAGTCTTAGAGAGTCGGTTCTTAGATCCACATGACATGGATGTCAGCTTGTAAGTGTGAGTGTGATTGAAGATGAGATCCTCACTCACAACCTTCTCAACCCTATGATCTGACTAGTGAAATTTTCGACTTATTTTCGCCAGCACAAAGATAAAATAACGAAAATCGTATCGTATTTTCGCTTAGGAGAAGCCAACAAAGAATCGATCAGAGAAAATTTTGAAAAATTTATTCATATCTTCAAATAACCATATTGGGTGTCTCACAAAGTTCAGAAATTGGTCATTGTGC